ATGTTAGGAGTAGCAAGCATAGAGCCTACAGCGTGTCCCGCACACTCCCGTAGTAAACTGTCACATTCTGTCATAGAAAAAAAATCACAGCTTCCTCCTAAGCCAAAAGCTTCTGCGGGGCAAGAGCCAGGTCTTAATCATGGGCTTGGCATCCAACACATGTGGTCACCCCAAGCAACCGAAAGAGGCTGTTAGACCCCCTTCAAGCCAATATTCTTTAAGTATTAATTGACCATTTATATATAAGAGAGACACTTGGTGGGAGCCCAAACTTTCTCTGCTGAAGCAGACCAGATAGGTAAGAACACCCATTTGCTGGGGCGCCTGGGTGGCTCAGTTGGTTAAGTGAGTGCCTTTGGCTCAGGTCATGATCCCAGGGTCCCAGGATCGAGCCCCACATCAGGCTCCCTGCTCTGCGGAGGAGCCTGCTTCTCCTTCTCCTTCTGCCTGCCGCTCCCCCTGCTTGTGCTGTCTTTCTCTGTCAAATAAATAAAATCTTAAAAAAAAAAAAAAGAATACCCATTTGCTGGCTGTAAGAACTTAGAGAAGTCTGTGCCTCAGTTTCCTTATCTGTGAAATGGGGACAGCAGTAACAGCAATAACAATAGTCTCTCCTGGGGCGCCTGGGTGGCTTAGTCGGTTAAGCATCCGACTCTTGATTTCAGCTCAGGTCATGATCTCAGGGTCCTGGGATTGAACCCCACATCTGGCTCTCACTCAGCAGGAGTCTGCTTGTTTCCCTCTTCCTCTACCCCTCCCCCTGCTCATGCATTCACTCTCTCTCTCTCTCTTAAATAAATAAATCTTTAAAAAAGAAAAAAAAAAGAAGCCAACAGTCTCTCCCTCTTAGAACTGTTATAAGGATTACAATAAAAAAAATTTAAAAAAAAAAAGAACTGTTATAAGGATTAAAACAGGTTAATTCACACAGGGCTTGACCCAGTGCCTCAATAACTATCAGTAGTTGGTGGTGGTGGTGTTTCTATTATCCAAAGCAATTCAGCAGCCTTGGCCTCAAACTTACATATGTGTCCTGCTCAGCAAAACAAAAGCCCTGGACTTAAGAGGCCGCCTGCCTGAGTGGGCATCTATTATGGCTACAGCATGCCCTTGGGGATCTCAACACTCCACATGCCGAAAAGGAATTCTTGCAAATATAATCATCCCCTTTCTGTTCCTCTCCAGCAATGTTCTTGGGCCCTCCTGGACTGACGGCCCCGGGGCTCTGGACCCAGCATATGCTCAGTGGTTTGATTAGATGACTGCTTGAGTAGGCTTCTTTCTGGCTTGTGGGCCTCCAGACCGGAAAGAGCCTGGGAACCCTCTCCCTGTGTTGCAGGCCCATCATCCTGGATCCAGCTGACCCCACCCACAATGTGGCCGAAGGGTACAGATGGGACATAGTCGCTCAGAGGGCCTGCCACTGCCTGAAACAGAACTGTTGTTATGACGACAAGGAGAACCCGGTCCCCAGCTGGACCATGAAGGTAATGCCTCCTCTGTGGGGCTTTCAGGGGCTTGAAGCTCAGAAGGAGGTAACTGCACAGAATTTACCTATTTACCTTCTGTGTTGATGGCGCCAACAAGGCTTTAGAGCCAGACAGGTCTGGCTGCAACACCCAGCAGCTCTGTGAACTTGGGGACGTTTTGCAACCCTCTGAGCCTCAGATTGCTTCCTTTCAAAGTCATGTTCTCCTTTTTCTTTCTCTTTCCCATAACCTACTGGAGAATCGGTCATGCTCCCGATCACGGAGCACATGAGCTGAGGCCAGGCAAGTGAATTCAGCAGCTGTTTTGTGCCAGCACTGGGGGCTGGTGGGGACAAGCAGCAGTGGTGCCGAAGTCAAACATGGCTCCTACTCTCAATGGATTTTGGTAGGAAGCAAGCCCTTGAAACAAATTTGCACGCAACTGCTAGAAAGAAAATAATTGCCAGGGGGGCGCCTGGATGGCTCAGTTGGTTAAGCGACCGCCTCCGGCTCAGGTCATGATCCTGGAGTCCCGGGATCAAGTCCCGCATCGGGCTCCCTGCTCGGCAGGGAGTCTGCTTCTCCCTCTGACCCTCTTCCCTCTCGTGCTCTCTATCTCTCATTCTCTCTCTCTCAAATAAGTAAATAAAAATCTTAAAAAAAAGAAAAGAAAAGAAAAGAATTGCCAGGGGAATTACTCAGGGAACAAAAAATGCTAAATAATATTATTATGTAATGGCAAACCTACCGTGCAGTCAAAGATCATAATAATCAATTTTATTCTATTCCTATTGTACTTAATAACTTGTCAAGCACTTGCCCCAGGACAAGTGTGTAAAAGAGAGAGGTCAAGTATTTTTATTATCACTATCTTGAATGTTAGCATCCCCATTTTACAGATGAAGAAACCGAGGCTCAGAGAGGTTACGTGAATTAACCAAGATCACACGCTAAGAGCAGAGTCAGGATTTACACCCAGGCCAGGTCTTTGTGGGGCCCACCAGCCAAGTGAGGCCCACAGACAGACTGTAAAGTATATGCCTCTGGATTTTTCCTGAATATAAAAACCATTGTGCAAAGATGTTTATCTTGAAACATCAGAAGACATGGGAATTCTGGGCCTGTATTCTTTCTGGAAAAGATCAGCTAGGGGTCCTGCCCTCCCCAGCACCTTCCAGGTGCTGTTCTTCAGCCACCAGGGACTCCCAGACCCTTGAGCATGACCTCTGGTGGTGGCGAAGAACAGACTTTGGAGTCTGACTGACCTCGGTTCAAATACCTGCTATGCTCCTCCCTACCTCTGCGATGGTCAGTAAGTCACTTAACCCTGCTCAACCACAATTTCCTCATCTGTACAAGGGGATAATAGGAACCAACCTCATAGGGCTGGTGTGAGAATGAAAGGCATTCAGAGGAGTGTGACAGGCGCCCAGTACAGGGCCTGGAAGGTGGTCGGCACAACCCAAATGTGTTGCTGCTGCTGTTAGAAACATGGGGACAGGTGAGGGGAACTTTCGCACGTCAGGCAGAGGAGTGTGGAATAACCGCCTCTCCCTCTTCTCTCCCTTCCAGAGGGCACGAGACATCCAAGTGACAGTAGAACAGTGGGGTTACTCAGACTTGATCCTTAAGGTGAACCCTTACGAGCCCATAAAGAAGGTTCAACAGAAGATCTGGCAGACCCGGGACTCCATGGGCCTGCAGCATCTGTCCTTCCAGGAGCCTGGTGGCAAGCGACAGCTCCTCAATAGCCAGTGCTCCTTGGCTGATTACAGCATCTTCTTCAACATTTGCCTCTGTCTGGTGGAGACCACCTCCCTCGAGATCCAGGTCTTTGTGAAGAATCCCGATGGGGGGAGCCGTGCCTATGCCATTGACCCCAAAAGCTTCATCCTGGGCCTGAAGCAGCAGATTGAAGACAAGCAGGGGCTGCCCAGAAAGCAGCAGCAGCTAGAGTTCCAAGGTCAAGTCCTGCAGGATTGGTTGTCTTTGTACAGCTATGGGATCCAGGACAGTGACACCCTTATCCTCTCCAAGAAGAAAGCTGAAATGTTTCCATTTCCACCCAGCTAATCCAGGACTCGGCATATCAACCACTTCTTCCAGCTCTCGCCTGGGGAGGTGCCATGTCTTCACCAGCTTTGTACATAGTTAGCCCAGCCCTGCCAGTGGGAGAATGAGGAGGGATGTGAGACACTTGGTATACAAAGGACAATGGCCAGACCACATAGGACAACAGGATTCTGACCCACACAACCTCTGCAAGCCCCCAGCCTGGGAAGCCAAACCACCACCTCCGCAGCAGTCAACCCCGAATCGTCAGGACTTGGTCACTAACTGTCAGCTTCCCTAATTCCACCTCACTTCCAACTTAGAACCAACCAGAAAAAGCCAAATAAGCCCCCTAACCAATCACAGTGAGGACGCCCTGCTTCTAGTTAGCCACCTACTGCTTCCCCATGCCGACAGCTTCAATCAGGACGTACCTGAAGCCTTCTCTTTTTTCCACTACAAAGCTTTTTGCTTGGAGTCTCCGCCAGTCTGCAGGAGACAGTGGCTGACTCCCTTGCAATAGGAAGCTGGGAATAAATAACCTTTGTTTATTCTCTTTTGGATGGTCTTAATCTCTTTCCACGGGTGCTAATGCTGTCCTGGTGATTCTTGCTGAATCATTTGAGCCGCCTAATTCTGGGAAATGAGGATTGCAGGGAAACTGAGATGCTGGGAGGCAAAGTCAGGGACAGGGAGGATGATGAAGCGTAAAACAACTCTCTCAACCCCCGATGCACACACACAAACAGTACATAACGGTCCAAGGACATTAGGAAAAGAACAGTACCTCTATCATCAGAGGACTTCGTGTGATCAGGTTTACTCCATTCACCCAATAAAAAGTTTCATTCCCCCCCCCCCTTGCCCTGGTTCCTTTTTAAATATATTTTTTAAAGATTTTATTTATTTGTCAGAGAGAGGGAGACGGCCTGCGCAGGAGCAGGGGGAGGAGCAGAGGCAGAAGGAGAAGGAGGGCGGGCGAACGGGCGGGGGAAGGGGCGGGGAGATCCCAGGACCCTGGGATCATGACCTGAGCCAAAGGCAAGTGCTTAACCAAGACTGAGCCACCCAGGCGCCTTCCTTTGGTTAATTTTTGACGGACACAACAATCCAAATTTTAACAAGTTCCCTATGGTGTTTCTCATGCCTAGAAGAATTTGGTAATTACTGAACAAACGGATAATATTGAAACTACGTTGGATCAAAGCCTAGGAACCAATGCTGGTTCTGTCATTAACTCCCTGTATGACTTTAGGCAATTCCATCTCCTCTGTAGGTCTCATTCTCCTCATAAGAAAAGGATGGAGAAGTTCACCTCTTAGGCCCTTCTAGCTCTCACCTTTGAGGAAACCCTCTGGGTGGTTCGTGGCCGAGGGCGGCCGGAGTCAGAGAACTACAATCCCCACAATACCTTGCGCTTCTCCACCCTTCTGTGGTTGCGGAGGTCGCTCGTAGAAGTGCTCCCCACAATCCTTTGCGGTAACTCAAGATGGCGGTGCCCCGTGGCCCCCTGAGCGATTTGGAGAGCAGCAGCAGCAGCGAGGCGGAGGAGCTGGCACGGTGCCGCGAGGCGGCGATGCCGGCCTGGGGCTTGGAGCAGCGCCAGGGAGGGCCGGAGAAGCCAAGAGCCGGTAGGAGGCTGTGTTCTGGGAGTCTGGCGTAAAGGCGTGGGATCTTCCCCTGGGGTCTCAGAGGCTGGATGGTGAGGAGGGTGTGACCCGGACTCGACTTCTCTCCCTGAGAAAGCTCCAGGGACTGGGTGGAACTCAGATTCAAAGAGCGGGCAGGCTGGGGGCGCCTGGGTGGCTCGGTCGTTAAGCGTCTGCCTTCGGCTCAGGTCATGGTCCCAGGGTCCTGGGCTCGAGCCCCGCATCGGGCTCCCTGCTCCGCGGGAAGCCTGCTTCTCCCTCTCCCACTCCACCCTGCTTGTGTTCCCTCTCTCAAATAAATAAAATCCTTGGGGGAAAAAAAAAGAGAGAGAGAGCGGGCAGGTGCAAGAGGGAGGATTGTTCCGTTATCCCAGTCAGGGAAACTGAGGCACCTGAATGTCTCTTCCCTCTGCTTCCTTTGGTCCATCGTCACTGTCGCACTCTTCGCAGTCCGCCATCTCTCCGAGATGACTGCGACAGCCCCCCGTCCTGGATACCGGTCTCCAGCCTTACCGCGCGTCCAGCGAGCTCATTCTCAGACCTTGGGGCAGCCAGCGCGCTGAGTCCTACATGTGTCTGACCGTGACTCTCACTACCCTGAGAATAAACCCAAAGCCCTTCAACATAGGGATTCCTAGTCATGGGTAGAATCCAGAGGATCCGTGAATTTGGAATCGGAAAGATATTTCACCTTTACTTTCATTAACCTGCATTTGAAATTTAGCATCCCTTTCTATCATGCATGTGAGCCACAGACTACAGTCGTTTGGGCAATACCTGTTACTTGGTCCTAACAAAATCACAGATTTTCATATCCCATCACAGTGTTTGAATATGTATCAAAATATCACTTTATTCACAATTAGTTGTTGGGAAAAAATAATGTGCACTCATCCCTGCTTTAACATTGCAGTCATTTTTAGACCCATCGGTAGATCTTACTTAATGCATTAATAAAGACAATGCATTAATAAAGAAGCACATATAGTAATGTTGCAGAGTTGCAGGGTTCTTGTTTCACAGAGTCAAAGAATGAATCTGGCAGACAAAGGGTGAAATGAAGTGAAGGTTTATTAAGGTAAGGTGAGAATGGAGAGGAAAGCTCTCTAGAGAGAGGTGGGGAATGGGTTGCCACTGTGGGCTTTTATCCTGGATATCTTGTCTATAACCTTGAGGACAAGGTAGATTTGTAAATATTATGAAAGTATCTTGTCTATATTTAGAACAAACCAGGTGGATTTGTTTTGTTCCCTCTTCTCTGGTTAATATCTTGTCTATAACATTTCTCCACCTCTAGGATATCCTTGAGCCTGGTTACACAGCCACCTACCTGTCTCTAGCTACCTACCCTGACCTGTCCCTTACTCAGTAATGTGCCAATTTTTTTTTTTTTTACTATTAATGATAACTGGATTTCTGTATCATTGGCTTTCTTTGTAATCATATGTGTTGTGTTTCATGCATTTCAAACATTGTTCTGAGGAGGAATCCAGGCTTTACCGGACTGCCAAAGCAGGCCATAGCAAAGCAAGGTTAAGAACCCCTGCTTTTGGGCGCCCAGGTGGCTCAGTCGTTAAGCGTCTTGCCTTCGGCTTGGGTCATGGTCCCAGGGTCCTGGGCTCGAGCCCCGCATCGGGCTCCCTGCTCCGTGGGAAGCCTGCTTCTCCCTCTCCACTCCCCCTGCTGTGTTTCCTCTCTCACTATGTCTCTCTCTGTCAAATAAATAAATAAAATCTTTAAAAAAAAAAAAAAAAAAGGAACCCCCGCTTCTGTTTAAAAGGACTTACAAGCCCTTTGGTAATCCATTCCCTGCCTACCTCTCCCTTCCTGCTGTCCTGCCACATTGCATTTCCCATAGGTAGACTTCAAATTATATCGCCTCATCCCTGGACACCATAAGTCAGCACTTTTCTCTTCAGGTTCTACATACAGGGCTGCCTTTCCAACCCCATCACTCAGTAGCAATGAGAATTTGGGCAAGGCACTTGTAGGGTTAATGGTAGTCCCACCTCCCCTCCCCAAGGTTGAGAAATAACTGAGGTGATACATCTACAATGCTTGGCACATATTAAAGGCCCAATAAGTGGCAGTAGTTATGTGATTATTCTCTCTACATAGACTACTTTCTGTCTCCCGCTTAACTCCTGCTTGCCCTTTGATACAGCTGAGATCCCACCTCTTCAGAAAAGCTGGTTACATGTCTTCACAGTGTCACCATCATACCTTGTGCGATTCCCTTCACAGATGGTGCTTCCTTTTTCCCTACGATTGCCGCTTGTCTTTTTTCCTTTCATCCCTGCATCCCTAGGACTTGTGGGGGAGTTAATCCTGGCCTGACTTGCTCCACAAATATTTTAGTGAGAGATTACATAGTGTGAACTTAATGAAGACTGGGATCTGGCTTGTCCCTTCACCGTGGTGTCCCCAGGGCCTAGCACAGTTCTCAGGAAAATAGTTCTTAATGAACTTGCCAGAAAGGCGCTTCTCTGATGAGTGAGGGACTGAGACTCCAACCAGACTTCCAGTCCAGTTGCTTCTGCCTTGACAGAATGGATTTCTCTGTGGCAGTAAAGGGAGGACTTGATATGAAGTGCCAGCTCTGAAGCTGGCCCCAGACAAGTAAAATCATTTCTGAGAGCCACAATTTCCTCATGTGTAAAATGCCTGCGTCCTAGGATTGTCGTGAGTCTCAAACATGAACAGCTTTGACCAACAAAAGAGATGCACATGGGAGAAGTGGCGTCCAGGATAGCAGCTTTGCCAGCTCATAGTTCTTGTGAAATCGTAAACCTTCTGCTGACCAAAGTAGATGTAGCTGCTGATAATCAGCGCTCTTACTTATTGAGCACCTTTTGTGTGCCAGGAAAAATACTGAACGCTTGACATACCTTCTTGGGCCATTCTAATAATAATAGCCACCACGAGTTGAGCGTTTACTGTGGGTCCGGGTTCTTTTTTTTTTTTTTTTTTTTTTTTTTTTTTTTTTTTTTTGAGAGGGGGGGGAGCAAACTCCCCCCTGAGCAGAGAGCCTGATGGGGGGGTTGATCCCAGGACCCCCAGGACATACCCCAACTGAAAGGAGACACTTTAACCACTGAGCCCCCCCGGCCCCCCTTTTTTTTTTTTTTTTAAAGATTGTATTGAGAGGGAAAGGGAAGGAGGGAGCGTGTGCAGGGCAGGGAGCAGAGGGAGAGAGGAACTCAAGCAGACCCCATGCTGAGCCAACATGGGGCTCGATCTCACAACCTCACAACCCTGAGATCATGACCTGAGCCAAAATCAAGAGTTGGACGCTTAACCGACTGAGCCACCCAGGCACCCCTGTGTGCCCTGTTCTGAACTCTTCGTATTTGTTGTCTAGTTTAATTTTTCCAGCAGTACCATTCCAGCAATTATTAGTGCCATTTTAGAAATGAGGATGTGGATGCTCAGAAAGGTCATCCAGCTTGTCGGTAGCAGAGTCGGGCATAAATCCAGGTCTTTCTGACTCTAAGCCCATGCTATTAACTGCTGCTCTGCCACTCCCCGCCACAGACAAGTGCCTATTGTGGGCAAAACTCCCATCCTCTCGTCCATGACCATGTGGAAATGTAGGTCACTATATTATTAAGTTTTGTTTGTTTGTTTGTTTGTTTGTTTGAGAAAGAGAGAGAGTATGTGCATGTGAGTTGGTGGGGGTGCAGGGGGAGAGAGAGAATCTTAAGCAGGCTCTACGCCCAGTGCAGAGCCTGATGCTGGGCTCCATCTCACAATGCTGAGATTGTGACTTGAGCTGAAATCAAGAGTTGGACGCTTAACTGCCTGAGCCACCCAGGTGCCCCATAAGTGACCATATTATTAAGGTAACCCCTGATACAGCTCTTTAATCCAGTAATGAGGAACTGATCACCCACACCTCAAACCATACACTTTGAATACCCTGTACAACATTTCTTTCACACCAAGGTACTACGCCAAGAGCTGGAGATGTAAAGATAACAAGAGGCAGACCATGTGCTCCAGCAGCTTACAAATGCAGGGAGGAGATAAACCTGCAGACAAAGTGTCCAAAACTGTAAACCTTCACTGTGTCCTCACAGGAACTCTGGGAAGTTGGTGGTCTTATCCCCATTTTATAGATGACAAAAACAAAGGTTTGGGGAGGTAAAGTGACTTGCCCAGAGGCACAGTGGAAGAACCAGAACTGAACCCTGTCTTCTGGGGTCTGGGGCCTCATACCGTTGCTGTTCCATGACATTGTGTCACTGCCCTGGCTGTGTAGTCATGATGGAGGAAGTACTCCTCCTCCTTGTGATTGTGTGCTCAGAGGGAAGAACGGGGTCCATCCCAGGCTTCCAGGTTCCCCAACTCCAGGAGCACCGGGCACTTTGCGTTGTGTGCTGTGCCCCAGAGCACATGTGAACTGCATGCTCTGGAGTCATTCAAGACCACGAGGCCCTGCTTGGGGCCCAGAGTTACCAAGCGATCATTTTGTCCAGTTGGCTCCCTCAATACACAAGCGCATTTTGTCCCATTACTCAAAGACCTGAGGGCCGTCTTTCATTCGTCTCTCACACCGTCCATCTGGTCCATCAGCAAAATCCTGCTGACTGCTTCAAAATACATGCATCCAGAGCCCTGCCACTTCTCATCGTCTCCATGATTGCCGAGGCCCCCTCCTTCTGCCATCGCCCCACTATGGTCTGTGTCCACGCCACAGCTAGAGACATGCTGAAAAATCCCAAGTCCACTTATGTCCCTCCTCTGTGCAGAATCCTCCAGTGGCTCCCCACCTCCCTCAAGGCTCAGGTCCTTGTATTGGCCCACCAGGCCCTTCCTGATCCCATGAGGTCCCCATTTCTGCTGCTCCCCCAACTCACTGGGCTGCAGCTACACCAGCCTCCTGGCTAGTTCTAAACTTCTGCCTCAGGGCCTTTGCAGGTGCTCTTCCCTCTACCTGGAAGACTCTTCCCCAGGTATGCACTTGACTCACTCCCTCGCCTCTCTGAAATCTCTGTTCACATGTCACCTATCAGTGAAGTCCTCCCTGTCCGCCTTTATAAAGTGATCCCCCATGTAGTCCCTCCACTACATCCTTCCCCTGCTTTATTTTTTCCCTCTGTATTTATCATTATCTAATTTTATATTTTAATTGTGTGGTTTTTGTCATCCATAACCACCAACTAGAATGGAAGCTCCGTGAGGGCTGAGACCTATATCTAAATTGTTCAGCAACTGGAACACCACCTCGGTAGTATTAGAGCTTCAGGATTTGGTTGAGTGAATGACCACCAGGCCCTTCGCACACAGGCAGGCACATAATAGGTGTGCAGTCAGCACTGGAATCAAATACGCTTAGACCTTCTTGCTCAGCGTGGTGGTTAAGAGGGGGCTCTGGAGCCAGATGACTTGGGTCCTGCCCCGGCTCTGTCACTTACCCGCTGTGTGACTCTGGCCAAGTTAGTGTACCTCTCCCTGCCTCAGCCTCCTCTCTCGCAAAATGGTTAGTAACTCCTTTAACAGGGTTGTTGGGAGCACTCAGTGTGTTAACGTGTGTAAATCACGTCTGATGCCCGACGGACATTGTTATCATTTCCTCTATAAATGCCTCAATTTTCCTTATTTCTACAGATGCCAGAAATAATCAGCGGCCAGCCACCCAGCCGAGCCTCAGGTACTGTGCATTGTTGGGTTCAAATTTAATCCACCCTTAGACGAACCGTGAGAGTGATGGACTCTGAAAAACAAACTGAGGGTTCTAGAGGGGAGGGGGGTGGGGGGATGGGTTAGCCTGGGGATGGGTGTTAAAGCGGGCACGTTCTGCGTGGAGCACTGGGTGTTATGCAGAAACAATGAGTCATGGAACACTGCATCCAAAACTAATGATGTGATGTATGGTGATTAACATAACAATAAAAATTTAAAGAAAATAAATTTAATCCACCCTTTTAACAAATAGTGATCCCCTGCCATGTGCCAGACGCAAGGTTAGACCCTGGAATGTCAGGGTGAACGAGCCCACGGAGTCCCTGCCCTCATGGAGGAGGCAGCTGCTGAGCTGGCAGGAGGTGAGGTGCTTTTGTGTGTGTTGTAGGCATAAAGTGGATGAACATGAACAAGATGGCAATGAACTTCAGACCACCCCCGAATTCCGAGCCCACATAGCCAAGAAACTGGGAGCCCTGCTGGACAGGTAACCAAAGATGTACCTTCTCTTCTCCTGCCTCCTTTAATGCGAACAGGGATGGCTCACATCAGCTGGGAGCTCAAGGTGTGCAAGCAGGCACTGGGCAAGCACGTGGCATATGTCCCCTCGTGGCATTTGTAATCAGCCCACCATACAGGTGCCATCGTTGTCCTTATTCTGCAGATGAGGAAACGGGCTCTCTGGGAGAAGGATTGTTTGCTCGAAGCCACAGGGTGTAAGGAGCAAGGCTGGGACTCAAACCCAAATGTGTTTGGCCCTAAAGGACACAGTCTTTTAACTACTGCATTATCGGGGCGCCTGGGTGGCTCAGTCGTTAAGCGTCTGCCTTCAGGTCAGGTCATGATCCCAGGGTCCTGGGATCGAGCCCCACATCGGGCTCCCCGCTCCGCAGGAAGCCTGCTTCTCCCTCTCCCACTCCCCCTGCTTGTGTTCCCTCTCTCGCTGTCTCTCTCTCTCTGTCGAATAAATAAATAAAATCTTTAAAAAAAAATAAATAACTACTGCATTATCCTGCTACCAAGAAAATAAGAGGAACCCAAGAAGCAAGAGCTCATTCCCACCACAAGAGGGCTAGAGACAGCCAAAACTACTATTTTGGGGGTACTTTCTTTATGCGCTGTGCCTTACTGGTTCTCTTTCTTGCATTTGAGAATATAATTGGTACAGATCCCGGTCAGCATTCCTCAAGTAGGCGCCAAGTCCAAAGCATGGCTCTCAAAAGAAGGGGTCCAACAGCAAAGAAGTTGGGAAACACTGCAATCTATATACCCCCTTGTGTCCTTGGAGACTTAGATTCATAACAGTATATTCAAGGCTTTGAGAATCCTACAGTCAAGAGACCTGTGTGGTTTTGCTTGGCCCGGCAGTTTCCAAACTCATTTGGCCACAGTGGCTTTATTTCAGGGAAGACTGATCCGTGTAGCCTGGAACACATTTCAGGATATGCTGGTCTAGATGCATTCCTGATTGGCAGAGCCCCACCAGCTTTTGAAAGGGAGATGAAGATGTTCAGGCCGTAGTCCTTCAATTTATCAAAAAGACAAACGTGTCCTCCCCAAGTATAAGCCAGCTGCACTCTGAGACAGAATGTTGGGCCAGACCTTCGCAGCCTGAGCCGTCACAGCCTCAGCACCAGTCCCCCAGCTCGCGAATGTGGTAAACATGCGTAGGAAGTATCTAGTGGTGATTCAACACGTGGGAGCGGTTTGTCTTCATGACCCTTTGGCTCCAGGGTGAACAAGGCCTGGCGGCATTGCAGTGATCCACACTGGACATTTCCCCAGGTGGAAACCCCGCAGGATACAGGTCAACCACGGTCAGCATATTCCCCGTGGTGTTTCTGTGTTTCTCTGAAAAGAGACTTAAATGATACTCTAGTTGGTTCCTTGTGTTAGATCAAGGTTTCTCAGCTTTGGCACTCCTGACATTTTGGACTGGATCTTTCTTGCTTGTGGGGAGCCACCCTGTGCATTGTAGAACAGTGAGCATCCCCGGCCTCTACCCACGACATCCTAATAGTGATCCCTGCCCCCCAAACCGCCGCCACCACGAGTCGTGACAACCAAAAATGTCTCCAGACGTTGCCTGATGTCCCCTGCAGAACAACATTGAACCACTGTGTCAGATACTCAGGTTGGAGTTAGGCACCTGGGCAGTAGTTGCTCTGTGTCCTTTCCCTGCTTTCCTGCACAGCGCTCTTGGGGATGCCTTTGGCATATAGGGAAGGCAGTTAGGACAACGCACCCAGGGCGTGGCTGTGTTTGCTGCCAGGACATTGTGAGAGCGTTGTTCTTTGCAGTGCATGGTGACTTCATCAGCATTCACCAGAGAAGTGCTTCCTGACCTCAGTACTTCTCGCTGCTCAGCTTGATCATCATCATAGCTGCCATTTACTGAGCATCTCCTTGTGGCCAGGCTCTATGCTAAGTAAGTGCTTGATATCCACTATGTCATTTCATCCCATAACAACTCTAAAACATAGGGCTACTATTCTCAGTGTGCAGGTGAGTAACAGAGGCTCAGAGAGATGAAGTCTCTTGCCAAAGGGGACACCGCAAGGAAGTGACGAAGCCAGGATTCAAAGCCAGGTCTCTGAAGTGTAAATAAAGTCAGTGGGTTATATCAATGTCTGTTTCCTGGTTGTGATCCTGGACTCTAGTTATGCACATGTTACCATAGGGTGGAAAGGGAAGGGTATATGGGATCTCTGTTTTATTTCTTACAGCTGCATGTCAACCCATAATTATCTCAGATTTTAAAAAAATAAAAATAAAAATTAAGAAAAGAAACAAAAAATAGGTCTGCCCTGCTGTAGAAGCTGACCTCTGAACCAGTTCTCCAGATTGGTCTTAGTTCCCTTTTCACGCTTGCTGCGAGGACACTCAAAGCAAACCATGCGCCCTCTCTCCAGCAATTTCTGTCCCTCCTAGCCTATTTTCTCTTTGTTCTATTTTAAATTGCATTCATTTTTTTTTTTAAGATTTTATTTATTTATTTATTTATTTGACAGAAATACAAGAGAGAGGGAACACAAGCAGGGGGCATGGGAGAGGGAGAAGCAGGCTTCCCGCGGAGCAGGGAGCCCAATGCGGGGCTCGATCCCAGGACCCCAGGAACATGACCTGAGCCAAAGGCAGACGCTTAACAACTGAGCCACCCAGGCGCCCCATCCATTCATTTTGTTGTACTGTGGGTATCTTTAAAACTTCTTCAACTCTTTCTGGAATAAAGTGGGGTTCGAACAGAGGAAGTGTTGCCATTTGCACCAACAGGGGCTGTTCAGCATGTTGTGGCTATAGGTGTTACTATCCTTAATCGGGCCAGTGTGCTTGCTGCTGGAGCATTTAAGAGCACATTGCCCCTGTCCCCTCCACTTAAAAAAATAAAAAGTTTTAATTTTTTTCTTGTTACCCCAAAATCTCATCCTAAATCAACCATTTCCTCCTTCCGTAGCTCAATTACCATCTCAGAAGTTGTGAAGGAGCCGGCAAAGGCCGAGGTACAGAAAGTTCCCGCAGAGGATGATGGTGAGCGGTCATACTATTATGTTAATGCCATGTGCTGTTTCATGACACACCTGCTGTGTGTCCGGGGCAGCAGACGGCGCTTCGGTGCACTCTGATCCACACAGCCCTCTGTGAGGCAGGCATGATGATGATGATACCCCCGTTCACAGGGGGAGCCATAGGGGAAGCTGAGGCTCTGAGAAAGGAAGTCTCTCGCCTGAAGTACCTTTGTGTGTGGGAGCCGGAGGGGGGCCGCACTCCCCGGCCGCTCCCAGGGGAGCCTGTCCCGTGCCCAGCCCACTTGCCACTGTGGAAGCTGCCTGACGCAGAAGGTTCACCTGCTGGCTCCTGGTTCCTCTTAGGGCTTGCTGCCCTGATGGGGCAGCTGGCGTCCCCTCAGGCACCCCATCCCCTGGCTCCGGCAGGCATCACGCATGCCTCTCGACACAAAAGGCATCTTTTTGTAGTCAGCCAACCACTAGTGATTCCTGGGTCTTCCCCTCTACGTGGAGCTCCTTGAGGGCAGGGGCAGGGCCGCCTTGGCGCCTGGGAGGAGGGGCCGGCCCCTGGCAGTGCTTACTCCGGTCCTTTGGATTTCAGGCTTCCGCCTCTTCTTCACTTCCGTCCCTGGAGGCTCGGAGAAGAACGCTGCTCCCCAGCCTGGCCGAAAGCGATTACCTCCGAGCTCCAGGTGAGGTCTCACACCGTGTCCTCCCATTCCCTCCTTTTTTAGCCCTTTGTCTGTATTTGCCAGTCCCCTGGAATAGCCGAGCAGAATCTGATCAGATCCAGGCCAAGGAGGAGCCCTGTCAGGTAGCTCGAGAAATGGTGCCCTCGGTGGGAGAGAGAAAAGGTTCTGTTGGGCATTGGCTTTGGGATTTTTACTGCTTCTTGAGCACCCTCTTGTGCCAGATACCTCACTCCTGGGGCATCCCTCTGAGGCCTGGGCTCTGTTAAGATCCCCATTTCGTAGACGAAGACACTGAGGGTCAGAGAGGTGGAGTCACTTAATGAGGTCACACAGCTGGGAAGCAGAGAAGCCGGGGTTGGAACCTGGCCGGCCTCACTCCCAAGCCAGAGCCCTCTAGCCACCTCTCACTGTGAGCTCTTCCCTATGGCTGAGACCGAGGGTGGTGAGAGGCGGCTCCAGGCCCCATGGCCACTCGGTGCCCTCCCCTTGCAGCAGTGAGGACAGCGAGGAGGAGTGGCAGCGGTTCCGGGAGGCAGCGGTGTCGGCCTCCGACATCCTCCAGGACTCTGCCATCCACAGCCCTATCAGAGTGGACGGAGAGGCAAAGAAGAAGAAAAAGAAGTTGAAAAAGAAAGCCAAGAAGGAGGCCAGCGCCGACTTGGTCGCCTCCACCACCACAAGTGGGACCGCGGTTGGGAAGCCGGAAAAGCAGTCACCCAAGCTCAATGGAGACCAGACATCACTTGGGACCAAAAAGAAGAGAAGGAAGAAAAAGGCCAAGAAGGCCAGTGAGGCTTCCCCATTCCCACCGACAAAGAGCGCAGTGGCCATGCCTGCAAACTGATCCCTGCCCACGGGCACAAGGCTTAGCTAGCCCTGAGGACAAGGTGCCCGTCAGGGACAAGGCATTTCCAAGCCCCACCTCCCTCTCCAAGTTCAAGGACTTGGCTGGCAAGTCCGTACTTGGCCCGTGATTGGGGCTTGCCCAGGGGTCGGGACAAAGACAGCTGTAGGATGAGAAGACTAATCAGGGCCTGCCCGTCCGGGCTCCCACTGGGGGCTGGCGCAGACCTGTGGTACCGGCACCTTCCATGGCCTCAGGAGAAAGGAGCCATCCAGTTATTCAAGACTATTGGTCAAGTGGTAAAGCTTCTGTCTTCCCGGGACAGAGGAGAGCAAGTGAAGGGAGAGCTTTTCCTTCCCCTCCACCTTCTCGACCTGGTGTGGGAGACATCCTTAAGGAACTGAGGGAAGGAGTCGGCCCAGAAAGAGTTTTGTACTTTTGTCTCCAGGCCGCACAGACTTGATAATAACCTTGTCTGAAAAAGAGAGAGATTTTATCCCCCGCTAGGTTTCCAGAATTTTTTTTCTCCATGTTTGTGAATATACCATGCACGATCATGTCTCTGAGCCAACCAGATTATTGAAAATAAATTGTCGAGAGACCCCAAACTTAACAAAGTGATCGGGGTGCTGCCTCCAATATCAATGCTGAATCTTGATGAGACAGTTTAAGTAAACATCACATAGGTGGTGTCCTCCTGCCTACACCCCAAGGTGTGTTCCTGCACCCCAGCCTCAAGACTTCAGGAAGTATCACAGCACTTGTGAATGGGGTTTCACACACCAGGAGTGTTCTGCCGGGAAGAGGAGAAGCTCAGGGTTAAGGTGAAATTCTGGTTTCATGGCCTTACCTCCAAGGTTTGGCAGAGCAAGAAAGACAGAGGTGTGGGACGTGAGAGCGTGTGTGCTAACCCATCTCCCCTCAGGCCCCTGGCCCACCTCCGCCTCCGTCTGTCTGCCCAACCCCATCTGGGCAATGTGTGGACAAGCAAGAAGTTTCCAGTACTCATTTCCAATACTCCGTTCCTCATTTCCTTTACTAAAAGTTAAATAAATGTACAGGTTCGCCCTTAGCTGGCTGCAAGCTGCAGGGGGTGCTGGTTCTTCCCCGGCCCCAGTCCTCAGTCCCAGGGTGGGAGTTGTCTGCAAGGCCAGGTGATCTGCAGCAGCCCCAGGGAGAGGAGGTCGTGGAGCCCTGGGTTTACACAGCTGCCTTGTCTCTCGTGGTGGCACTTGGGACCGCAGGCTCCAAGGATGTGGCTGTGAACTGCCTGGACCTTTCCCTCTTCCCTCTGGGCACCTCAGCTCTGCCACCTGCTCAGGCCTTGGTGCCTTCTGAGCTCAGCAGCTTCTCCCGCAAACCAGAGAGGGGCCACAAGGCCCCACAGGCGAGATGCGCTGTTGTCCAGAATCCTGACAAACACCGGGCACAGTCACAAGGCTCCCATGGGGCAGGGATGACTTCCTAGCCCTGAGGGGGGCTTTCCCATAGAGGCAAGATGGCAGGCTGGCATGAGAAGGTATGATACCCAGGGGGACGAATGGCCAAGAAAACTGGCCATCTTGGAAGCCAGGGAGAAGGAGGGCCCAGGACAAGAGAAGCTGGAGAGCCCTGTGTGCCTTCACTGCTAGCCTGAGCTCTCGCAGGGCATGGGCCTCTGAGCCCCAGGCTCCAGCACGGAGTAGCCACTTGGGGAAATCTCATGTGATTGGCAGACAGGGGTTGGTACAAATGGGCCATGTGGGTTTACAGCTGGAAGGGGAGCAGGGGGGAGGGGCCTGATCAGGACATAGGGGACAGAATGGGGCCATGTTGACCCTGGGCCTCTCGGAGCTCAGTGAGTCACGGCTATATAGCCTCGTGTCCTGAGAAGTGCGGTTCCCTTGGGGGTTCCGGGGCTCTCCACAGGCACAGGCTGGGGGCACCAGAGTCCAAAGGCTGCTCCCTTCTATTCCAAGTGACAAAATTGACCCTGAGCATCAGGAATGGTCCCTCCTGAGGTCGGAGAGCCTTGGAACCCTTTCCGACGCCGACAGAGCAGCGTGGGGACCGAGGCACAGTTTTCCCGGGAAGGCTGCTGTCCTGTGGCAGTGAAAGTTTCACAGGCTCAGCTGTCCCAGTCACCCCCCAAGCAGGCCATGCAGGCTCCAGGCAGGGCCCAGCCCCTGGGAGGCGGTTGCCATGGTTACTGGGTGGATGAAGCCATCTGCGTGGAAATGAAGGTCTCGATGACGCTGTGGTTGGCTGGCAGCAGGTGGCCGTGGCCATGGCTGGAGTCGGGGCTCTGGTACAACACCAGGCTGCTGGAGGACACTGCGGGGGCAAGTGAGACAGCTGGCTGCCGGCCCGGCCACCCCAAGGGGCACTTGGCACAGGGGGCACAGGGCCTCACCACCCCCCGAACTGCAACAGATAACAAGACCCCAAAACCAGACGGCTGTGTTTGCGTCTCATCAGCCCCGCAGCCAGGCTCTGCAGCCGCCCGGGGAGCGGCTGCCTCGGGGCTTTCTGGCGGAAACCCTCGAGAGGCCCGGGTGAGGCGGTGTGGTTAGTTGCACGCATCGTTGTTGACAGGCCGTGGGACAGGCACCAAAGCAAACATTTAAGTGTTGCCACGGAGGTGTTTTGTATCTACGGTTAACACCTAAAATTGGTCGACTGGGAGTAACGGAGATTTCTCTTGATGACATGAGTGGGTCTCATCTAGTCAGTTGAAGGCTTTAGGAGCAAAAGCTGAGGTTTCCTAGAGAAAAAGGAATCCTGCCTCAAAACTGCCTCTGTTGTCAGCCTGCCGACCTGCCCTACAGCTTTCAGACCTACCAGCCCCACGGGCATGTGAGCCAGTTTCCTTAAATATGGGTGTACGTATAGTTGACCCTTGAACAGTGCAGGGGGGCCAGGGGCACTGACCCCCGCACAGTCACAAATCTGCATATAACTTTTGACTCCGCAAAAACTCAACTACTAACAGCCTACTGCTGACCCAAAGCTGTACCAGTAACCTAAACAGCACACATTTTGTATGTTCTAGGTATTATGCACTGTATTCTTACAACAAAGCTAGAGAAAAGAAAGTTACTGAGAGCGTCGTAAGGAAGAGAAGGTACACTTACAGCCCTGTGCTGTGTCAAAAACTATTGGTGTATAAGTGGGCCCGTGCCGTTCAAACCCCGTGCTGCTCAGGGGCCAGCTGTATTCCTGTCTCACCAGAACCCTGACTGACTATGATGGCTAAGAGAATGGGCTTTGGTTTTGGACCTGGGTTCAAATCCTGGCCCTGCCGCCGAGTCACTGTTGGAGGCAAGGCCAAGTCCCACAGCTCTTGAGTGTCTGCATTCTCATTTGTAAAATGGGGATGATGACCCGTACCTGGTGGAGAAAGCATGGAGCCTGGCCCTGTGGTGCCCTCAGTAACTGTCCCCGCAGCCTCCAGGCCTGGAGGGAGGAACCTGAGGCTCACAGAGGGGGCTGGGAGGGTGGGGGAAGCAGCCGCCCAAAGTCACGCACATAACAAGTGATCGCCCGCAGCCTCAGAGCCCAGCAGCCCGACTCCCAAGTGCCCACTCTTCATTATTGCAGACTCGGGGCATCAGGGGATGGAAACGAATTGGTCAAGGGGGACGTGGTGACCTGGAGAGCCCACACTCTGTTGTTGCCACGTGGGAACACGAGTCTCCAATTTTCCAAGAAAAGCCAGAAACCACGATTTCTTTGTGAAAACTAATTTTTAAATGTCGGCAACATACTCAGGCAGTGCCAGGCCCTGAGCCAAACCAACACGCCTGTGAGCCCCTCCTGGCCCATGGCAAACCCAGCGTACTCCTCACTAGTACCCTCTACTCTCTCTTGCAGTTAATCTTTTTCCTCAGCCGAGTCAGTGAGCTAATCCCGTAAGATAGGGCCATTTTCCTGTGGTTTCGTACCCCTCTTGGCTCACTTCAGGGGAGCGCAGGGTGCCCTCCCGTTTGCTGCACACACCTTCCTCCCCAGCTGAGGGAGCAGGGAAAGGCTGCTCACCGGTGGGGCTGGCGCTGAGCCGGTGGGCAGGCTGCAGGTGCTGGATGCCTGCAGGGTCCTGGCTGGGGATGTGGATGGTGGTGGTCTGAGACGCCGGCGTATGAAGCCCGGACTCACTGGAGGCTTCAGTGTCTGAGGTGAAGACCTGGGGGAACAGAGCAGCCTCCTGAGCCCCACATGGGTGCACTCTGGGAAGTGGCCTGAGCAAGGGGCCAGGCGGACCTGGGCCTTACCTGCTTGGTGGGCGTGAGGCTGGCCAGGGCGCTCAGGTTGGTGGTGTCGGTGATGAGCATGGTCTGCGGAAGCAGGCCCGTGTGGGTGTACTGGGCCACTTCAGGCTTGTGGCTATAGAGGGCTGGCCAGGAGAGAGAGGGGTATAAAGACATGGCACCCTGGGCCAGGCCAGACCCCTCCCAAGGGGGCCTCAAAGCTGGGAGCTCCAGGGGAAGTGGGGCATGGGGCCTGGTAAATGGCCCGATGGAGCAGTGGTTGAGGACTCAGGACAGATTTCCAAAACTGGGCACTCCAGATAGAGGGGCTAGACCCTCGCCCCAACTACAAGAGCCTGCTCAGGCTGGCTTGGTGGAGGGAAGGCTGGGGAGGCCCAGGAACCCACACCCGCTGCCCGGGGATGACCAGTGCGAAGGGCAGTGGAAGACAGCGCTGCCACACTAAGTACAGGCTGCGGGGGGGGGGGGGGGGGGCAGCAGAGCTCCCCCTCCAGGACGCCTCTCTGAAATGTAACCCAGAGTTTCACCTACAGCCCAGCCCCACAGCACACACAGGCACCAGCAGAAAAGCACATAAACCACATATTCTCACATCGACTTCAGATAAAACAGTTCGCACACAAGTACGGGCCCTCAAGCAAACCCACACAGATCCACAGGCCCACAGGCCCTTACCCCCAATTCCAAATTCCAAAAAGGTCTAAAAACCAACAGATTTGCATAAAGTCAGCAGTGGAGCTCATTTGGTGGCAAACTGACCAGAACCTGTTATGAGGTTATGGAAGTCTATTAACCCACTCCATGGCATTCTCCCTTCTGCTGCAGAAATCCCAGGGCTTAGATGACAGGATGCTGCCCCGAGCCCTGCCGGGAGTGTGCTAGAGTAGACTGTCGATACCCCGTATCACCTTTTTCTCAAGTCAGAGAAGTAGTTGAGTCTGAGATACACATGGCCCCACGCATTTCAGAGGAAGGCCTATGACGTTCCTCCCACACGTGGGTGTGCACCTGCAAACACCGATGAACACCCACATGCACATCCACTCACAGAAACTCGTGTGCGCACACGGCCACACACATTCACGCCCGCAGACACGCATCTGAGCCCCTGCAGACCGCCCCATCTGCTCGTGGACACCCAGCCTCTCCCACCCCCTCCCCCAGCATGGGGCTAGGGGTGCTCACCGTGGGGGCTCTGCAGCTGGGCCATGGTGGCCATGAAGGGGCTCTGGGCCACATGGCTCTGCATGGGAGGCATGAGTGGCTGCTGGTAGGACGGGTGCAGCGGCTGGGAGAACTGGACTGGCTGCAGGGTGGTCAGGCTGCTGCCCATGCTGTTGATGACGGGCACACTCTGTGCCTGAGTGGAGGCCAGGCCTGGAGAGGGGGGAACAGGAGTCAGTCCGGCTTCCTACCACCTGGCCCAGCACTGATCCCGGGGCACTGTCCCTCCGTCCCAGAGCCAGTGGGGGGGAGGAAGGGGAGAGGCGACCAGGAGACACCTTTGCACTAGGACCTGTCTCTAACTTACATGGTCTTGGCAAGTCACTCCCCCTCTCTGAGCCTCTAACCCCTCTCCCAGTTAGCTCCCTATCTGTCTTACGTATTCAGCCCCTGCATGATGGTTCCTGCAAATAAAGTCTTTCTGGGCTTAAAAAAAAATAGGATAAAAAAAAACAAAAACCTACAAGATTTTGATGTCCCTTCTCCTGCTCAGTTTTCCCATAGACATTTTGCCTTCCAGGACACTTTATAATGTCTATATTGTGTTTGCTGTCTACCTCCCCAGTGGAGTCGTTGAGATTTTGGTCTGTTTGGTTCACTTGTGTATCACTGAGGT